CTAAATATTTAGCTTTGCAAGTTAAATATTTAGTTAGAAAATAAAATATTTAGATTAGGAATTAAATGTTTAGTTTAGAAATTAAATATTTAGTTTGGAAATCAAATGTTTAGTTTAGAAATTAAATATTTAGTTTGGAAATCAAATATTTAGTTTGGAAATTAAATATTTAGTTTGGAAATCAAATATTTAGTTTGGAAATTAAATATTTAGTTTGGAACTATGATGTTTATAAATGTATGAATAACATGGTGAAAATGTGACTTTGAAAAAAAAAAAAGCTATTTTTTTCTTATTAAAAGCTAAATAAACCAAAATATTGCTGTTAATTTTTGACTGTGTAACTTTACAAACAGCACCCCATACCTGTGACCAAACTGAGATGGCTTCAAAACATGTTTGAGACTTCTGTCATGATGACTGTCACTTTTTTGAGAAATAAAAGTATTTGAACATATTCAAATTAAAGTGGCAGGATGGCGCCTCTGTGACTCATGTTCATGAAAACAGCCGCGAACATCATGTGACACTCTGGAGACTTCAACCAACTGTACAGCTCAGTGAGATTTTACCTTTAACAAGCACAGCTAGTCTCGTTCATTAAAAAATAAAAAGTTGTTTAACGTTGTAGATGACAGCCCGTGTTCCGGTTTGTACGGGCACGTATATAAATCTGGTTATATTGAATTGGAACTGGGTTAAACTGGGCTGTAGGTAACTGTATTTGACTTGAACCTTTTCTGTTGATTGTTCAGCGAGCACGTTTACTGTGAATTGGTGCTAAATAATATATTTACTGAGCTTTATAGAAAGTTCTGCTGTCTCGCAATACTAGGGTGTGCTTATTGTTTGCAGAATTAAGTGTCTTTTAGTAATGATTTATAACCGCGTGTGACAACAGGATTTTATTACTGCTTTTAAAACAGAGCAGTCCATCATCAGAGTCCTTTGGGACAAACTCTGCTCAGGTTTGTACTTATTGGTTTACGCTAAAAAGATTCTGGATGTAATGGCCAATCGTTCATCAACTAATGGTTCACATAATTACGTGTGGTCATGCAACACGCCTCCTCTCTGCTCTGTGATACAGTGACTGGGAAAGGTTTGCTCTCAGAAGTGCTCCCAGACATCTCCACCCAGCCGGTGCGCTCCTTTCAGGGCACCTGAAGTTGTTCCCAGGCCAGAGGGGCGATGTGACTGTCTGAACGTTTCTGAACTTATTCTCATTATTCAGATCTGCTTTTCTTCTGTACGTTTTCGGCACGTAACTCGTTCCTCAGCTTTTGTTCTGTTGCAACGATTTACAAATCAAAACGTTCAGCTCAGTCAGAACATTTCTGCTGTGGCTTTTGGTATTTGTGCAATTATTACTTTTTGAAACATGTAACTTTGCCAACCATCTTGTCTTCATTTAAAATGAACGGAGCTCTATTCACATCCTTCAAACCTTTTGAGCTGTTTATAAACTCTTTCTGCTCATTTCAGCTGTTGTTCGGCTTCAGCTGTTTTCAGCTTCTTTGTGCCTATCTAAGCTTTCTTCAGCTCCTTTCTGATTCTTTCAGCTTCCTTCAGTATTTTATTTCTACTAGTTTCAGCTTTTTATGCTCCTTTAAGCTTTTTGGTACCGCTTTACATTAAGGCTCCACTTATAGATGGCTAATAAATAGTTTATAAATACGTTATTAATTCCTCTTTAAACACTTTATAAATCACTGATAACTAAGTTACTACCTTGTAAGCACAATAAGCATTTGTAAACCTATTTCTTTAGCATAGAATATTGTACTTTATCACTTCATTATAAGGATTCAAGGTTCTTTATTTGTTATTCACACCCCATGTGGTACATGTGGTGGAATGAAATTATGTACACAGGGTCCCAGTTACATCCAACAATAAAATGTAAAAGAAAAACAGTGATAAGATCTAAGATATGAACTAAGAAAAATGTTAACTAAAAATACACTAAGCACCAATAGCATAAAAACAATACGCTGAACAGCAGCATGAGCATGAGTCTGTGTGAGCAGATGAGCACAAATGAACACAGCAGCATGAAACAGATCAGCAGCAACATTGAAACAGATCAGCAGCAACATGAAACAGATCAGCAGCAACATGAAACAGATCAGCAGCAACATGATGTGATTTTCCACAGTGATTATTCTGGTTAGAGATTCATGAGTCTAACAGCCTCAGGATAGAAG